AGCATGAAAATATCAGCAGTTTCTGATGCTTGTGCTATTAACATCAGTAGAAGGTCTTTGTCCATACCATCGACCACCAATTGGTGATAGTGAGGTTGTGTTCAGCAGTTGCTGAGGAAGAGTTGGCTGTTGAGATTACACTTGCCTAATCCATTTCTCCATATGATTCCCTGCCAAATGTCAGCATCTCTGCCAACTCTGGCATTGAAGTCACTAAGCTGCACAACCTTATCTTCTCTGGGGATAGAGGTTAGCAATCTGTCAAAGCTGGTGTAAAAGGCCTCCTTGATGTCATCCTCTGCATCCAGTGTTGGGGCGTATGCACAGATGAAAAAGGCATAACGTGAGTGATTCAGTGGGACTCGGAGTGTCATGAGGCGCTCATTGATCCCAACATGCATTTCAGTTAGCTTGTGTAGGATGCATTGGCGGATAGCAAAGCCAGCTCCATAAATGCGGTTTCTCTCCGCAGCAGGCGTACCCTTCCAGAAAAAGGTATAGCCAGACCTCCGTTTTGTGAGTCGGGACTCCCTAATGGCTGCTATGTTGATGTTATACCTAATGATCTTAGCTGGTGAAATAAAAGAGTCAGTCCAGTAGTGAATGGCAATAAAGAAATATATGGGCAAGTGACCTACAATATTGAGACCCGACAGAGAATCTGCTGTTTAAATTTAGTGCCAAATCTTCAAGTGTTCACTCTAAGTGGTTTTGCACTTAAGTGTTCAAATAATTGTGGACCTACAAGTAAAAAGTCCCCGCAGTTAAGAGGATTCTAAGGCTTTAATCTGTCAATCTTTGGGAGCACAAGTGTTTGAGCGATTGAAATTCCCGCCCACCTCTCATTCTTTTAAGGTCATCCTTCTCATCTGTGATATGTTATGCTCAGTACCAGTCACCTGTGTCTACGGGCATTATTTTGAGGTGCTCCAAGAACTATAATTATCAACTTTGTTGTGTCTTTGGTGACACTGGTGGACTATTTTTGTAGCCATCACTTCCAAACCAAAGCAAGGTGGTGGAGTGGTTGAAAGGAAGCTTAGTAGCTATGGGATGGACGTGAAATTAGAAGTTACATGTCGTCATAAAAGTGGTGAGCATGTCTCAATAAACCACATTCACTGAAATGAGTGTGCGAGTGTATGGTTAGGTAGCTTGCGCCTTATCAGTACACCGACCCCATCGACTTTAAGTACAGGTACCTTAAATAAGTTGTAAAGTTAAATAATTTCATAAAATAATGTGCAATCCAATGTTTAACAAATGTTTCTATTATATATATATTGTGTAATTGTTAAAAGATACCAAATTAAACTTTATGAAAGTCACTTACAATGTGATGGTCTCAAGTAGACCCTATTCCTATTAATTCTTTTGGAAATTTATTTCCTTATATAAGTGGTTTCATTATCAGTGGCTTTTTTCTGGTCCCTATTAACCACTTATAATGGAGCGGCGTGTTGCTAACCTGCTTATACAGTGGCGCCCCCCCCCCCCCAAAGTTCGCGGATTTTTACTTCACGGTTCTCGGTTATTTGCGGATGTACCCAAGAATGTCTGTGGGTAGTTTTAAAGTTGCCGGCATTTTCATGTCTGGGACAGGGAGCCATTCGTTCAAGAGACAGTAATTGTATATATGTGTGTGTGTGTGTAGACACACACACACACATATAAATAAATAATAATTGGAAAATACTCTCACAAATCAGAAACATATTTATTAAAAATGTGAGTCTACCCTCAAATCCGGCCTCTATTACAGTACTTTATTAATAGAGCATGGACTTGAAGGTAGACTCACATTTTCAATAAATTTGTTTTTGATTATTTGTGAGGAATTTTCTAATTATTATTTATATGTGCAGTGGTCCCTCGGTTAACGAAACGTTCGTTTAACGAACGGTTCAGTTAACAAAATTTTGATTAACGAATTACCTTCCATAAGATTCTTCAATTCGATTAACGAAATCCTTACGACAAACACTTTTGTTGTGAGCATCAGCTGATGGGCTAGTCTGCCAATTCAGTAATCTGTTCTATTCCCCATCAACAGACTGAGCCTCGCCAGCCACCGCTTGCCTCTGCTTCCCACCTGGGATACCCACCAACACATGCCGCCACGCGTGCCGAATCGTTGCCGCAGATAGCTGCCCCCATGCCTCCACCAAGAAATCAACAGCCTTCTTCATGTTAAACAGCTTCCAGAACTGCTTGACCCGCACTTCATGGTCTGCCAATTCTTGTTCGTGTTCCTCGTCCTTGCTCTCGCTATCGGTGCCACTCTCTAGGTTCTGCAGTTCGTCCTTGGTGTTGGTGAAGTCATTCAGGAGCCGAAACATCTTGGCGGAGAAAGCAGCCTTCACGTTGCAAATCAACTCCTGATCCATGGGCTGGATTAACGATGTAGTGTTAGCGGGAAGGAAGACCACATTTACGTTGGGGTGACGATCCAGCAAAAGGAGCGAGTGTCCTGGTGCGTTGTCGAGAAGCAACAAAATGTTGAATGGCACATTATTTTCCACGCAGAATTTTTTGATATCAGGAACGAGACAGTTGTCAAACCAGGTGAAGGACAGACCAGAGAACATCCACGCCTTCTCTGAGGTTAGCCAGTGAACATTTAACTTGCTCATGTCCATATTCTTGTAGGCATGCGGCTTGCGGGCATTGTGGATCACAGACAACTTCAGCTTAGCAGTACCGGAGGCATTGGTGGTGAACAGTATGGTGATGAGCTCCTTCTGCATTTTGCGTCCCCGACACTTGCTAGCAGACTTGACGACGAAGGTCGTGGATGGCAATTTCTTCCAGTACAATCCTGATTCATCCATATTGAACACTTGGTCGTCGGTGTACTGGCCTTCCTCCATAATTTCCCGTAAAAATGGGGCAAAATTCCTGGCAGCAGCCCGGTCGGCACTTGCTCCTTCTCCGACTAACTCAATATTCGTGATCTTGTTGCGTCGTTTAAAACCTTGCTGCCACCCAGCGGAAGCACTGAAGGGCTTGGGCTCCGCAACCCCCCTTTTTCTTACTACTGCTGTGTAAAGTTCCCGGGCGTAGTCCTGCAGTGCCTGAGTGTCGACCGCCATGCTCCTTCTTGACTGACGAATAATGTAGCTTACCAACAAACTCTAGCTCTTCAGCAGCACCTTATTGTGGCAATATTTCACCAGCGAGGCACCTACAGACTTGGTAATGTTCATGTGTTCATTGATTTTGCCGGCATCCTTCTTGATAGTGCGGATCGTTGATTCATTCACTCCATATTATCTGGCCAGATCCACCTGTCTCGTGCCTTTTTCTAACTCCTGGACAATCTTGTACTTTACCTCATAGCTTAAGGAGCGTCGCACCTTCTTGGGCTTGAGCCAAATAGTTCAGGGCTTCTCGGGGTTGGTGAGGGTCCAGCGGAAGCCATTGTGTAGAAAGAAAAAACAAAACCGGTTCCTGGGCACGAGTGAATATACACGGGGACAGTGAGAATGACGTGGCGGGGGTGGCAAGGATAACTAGACCAATCACAGCACACAGCAGAGGGGGTGCGTGGGTGGTAAGGATACCTGGCCCAATCACAGTCTGCGACGTCACCGGCGAGAGTCTGTCGTCAGCGCCCAGCACCTTGCCCTGCCGCTTGCTGCGTACAGGATATGTCGGCGTACAAGGCCACGGGGTGTATAAGACGACCCCCAAAATTTACATTTAAAACGTAGGTTTTGAGCTATACTGGCTGTATAAGACTACCACAACTCTGACACTTACCACTGGGAGCTTACTGCCCCAGTAGTCCTTTACCAACCATCCCACTGACCAGTGTGATGCTATTAAACACACTACTAAGCAACACATCCTTGTTTTTTTTACAATAAGGCCAATTCACTTCAAGTAATGGCATCAAACATTACTAGCTGGTGTAGTGTAAACACTAGTGACGTCACTTTAGGCATCGGTTATTTTACTGGAACTACAGTAATGTTGGTGCCTAGTAAAATTTTACCATTTACTTGAAACGGATTTACTGATTTATTTGTTTATTTATTTATTTATAATATTCTGTAATATATTAGAAATGTAGGCATAAAATGCACTGCAGGTATTTTCTTTAATTTATAAACTTGCTTGGCGAGACGATCAGTAGGACTGGCTGTTTGTTTACTTCGGCGGCAGTTGCAAATGGCGAGTGGTGTGTTATGATACCTGCATTTATTACGTTGTTATTTTATGGCATGTTAGACAGGTTTATAATACATTTTTATCATTTTAAAGTACTGGTAATCTCATTTTTAATCCAGCTTCCCAAACGTAAGTTTCAGTAGAAAATAATTAGTGGTAGGACCGTGGAATTACGGCGAGTGTTTTACGATGTTTTCCATCACCACTGGTGACACACTAAACCACAGGATTCTAGAGGTTCGGATTTTATACCAGGCCTTTAAGACGACCCCTAAGTTTCCGCTGATTTTTTTGAAGGTTCAAATTCCGTCTTATACGCCGACATAGACATATACGGAATATGATGTCATTTACCGCATAAATAATAATTATCTCTTCTGAACAGGTACTGCGTAAATGGCCTTCCCCGTAAAACCAGATTATACTGTAAAGCAATTTTAACACATGTCAAAGGACATTGTTTGCACAGATATCCGATGTGCGGACGTGTACCAGTACAATATACCCGTATAAAATGAGACCCCACTGTACAGTACAGTAGTGGAAATTAACATGATATATCAGCATGGTTAACATATCCTTCCAAAGAACAGGTCATACTTTTTGTCAAAATACAGACTCACTAGAGGACATTTTATTTTATGGGTCATATAAGTCTCTTTTCTTTCCCCCCATTCCTTAACAGGGGTTTTTAGTTCTTTGTTGATATTCAGGTCTTTTTGTGTTTTATTCCAGTACTACCTGTTATGTCCATGGAAATATACCTGTAAAGTACAGTACTGGGCATAACTACACTCCTATTAATGTAATGAAATTTTGTTCTCCAGGGTGAAATCATCACCGTCTTGCGACGAGTGGATGAGAACTGGGCTGAAGGTAAGCTGGGTTCTCGAATTGGAATATTTCCACTCTCCTTCGTTGACCTTAACAGTGCAGCAAAGGCTCTTATGAAGCTTTCCCTCAAGTGAGTACTGTACAGTAATATACTCTTTGATATGATATAGTATATATTTTTTATGTTTTTTGTTTAAATAACTTTAATGAAATCAGCATTTGCTATACTTTATAAATGTATTAGGTGTGCAAAGAAAATAAATTGCTGAATGTTTTAAATCTTAGACATGTGATTATCTCAATATAATTTTGCTAACATGTTTCTCTAGTTCTTATGCAGTTATACCATTATTAAGGTTGGATTTGTTTCCCAGAGATGGCTAGTAATAGGCTTATTCTTTATATGCATACAGTAGAAACCACTTGGAGTGCAACTTTATACATTATGATTAACTCAGCTGAAACCATTTCATGGAAACAAAAATACATTTTCAAACACTGCAATTGCCAAATACAGTACAGTATTTTGTGAATAACAGTGGGGGACCTCTGAGCTTCTAGCAGTAGAATGCCTTTCAGAGGTTAGTTTTGTATGATTTTTAAATAAAAAATTTAAATTAATATCTAATCTTATAAACATAAAGGAAATTAAATATTGGAAAAGAAAATTGAATAACTGATGCTAAAGTTAATATTTCTTCAGTAAAACTTTGTCATTGTGAAACATGATTTGCATTGATCAACAAATACAGGATCTATTTTTAACATGGACATCTCCTAATCAGTGTGGTTTACACACCAAAACTTTGTGGAGTTGTCCTTTGGTAATACAGGTGGTCTATCAAAAATCCGGCAACCTCGGGACCTGAGGAGTGCCGGATTTTCGAAAATGCCGTAAAACTGATGGTTATATTTGCTGTATAAGTTTAACAGAAAATGACTACCTGTACAGTCCTTTAAACAAAGAAAATTAAACACTTAAGTTAGGATAATATAATTGACATTGCTGGATTCCTTGTAAGACCAGGAATATTTTGAATATAAATTTCATATATTTTCACGAAAGATAACATATTTACTCAGAGTAAACATTATATCTAAAATTTGTATGTCTAATGCAAAATCTATGATGTTTATATTCAAAATGATCATCAAATTGTAAGAATTCCAGCAATGTAAATTATATTCTGGCCGGGTAATTTGTATGAATTTTATGAGCTAAAACAAATATCTTCAGTTAAAAAAAAAAAATATTCTTCACGACACTATCTGTCAATCAAAGTACCCCAACTTGCCTCCCCCCATCTTCCAACCGCGCCAGAAGGTCGGTCGGTCCCAACCCTCCCCCCCCACCCCCCACCTTCCATCCTTACCAGAGAAATGTTGGGTGAAAAAACTAATTTTAACTTTTAGTAATAAATAATACCTCAAACTAAAGTTAGGATAATATAATTGACATTGCTGGATTCCTTGTAAGACCA